TGATTCACCCAAAGTCACTCGGCTTTGAGCTGTGAAGTTGGGACTAGAACCCGAAGCTCAGCAGTCTCCACTCTGCCGTGATGCCTTGCAGGCAGGTATGGACCGGGGATGTCCATTCTCATCTACCTCCCCACAGTGCCCGTAACAAGCTGTGCCCACAGTGGGCGTGACCTTGGCCTGAGGGCTGGAGGCAGGATTAGGGGTTCTGGACCCAAAAACGGGGCCTCTTCAGGGTACTCAGGGTGGTGACCTGCAGAGCTGGCCACTGTCCGTGCTCTGAAGTGCCTTGCGCAGGTGAGAGGAGCCGGGAGAGGGCTTGCCTCAGCCTGAGCTCTGCTGGGCGATACCACATGGAACCTGGGGGCAGGAAATTCTCCGTCTCAGCATAACCGGGGCTTTGTTACTGCCACACGGCGTCCTGTGAGACAGCCGGCTTGTAGGCACGGGGCCCACAGGTATGAGTAGAGCCGAGGCCCTGCACACGCCTCCAGGGCCAGGCCCTGGAGAGAGAACTCAGTGCTCCCTTCCCCCAACCCCAAAAATGGGCCAAGGGGACCCTGGAATCGTCCCAGGTGTCAGGAGGGGCCTGGGGCTCAGGTCTAACCACAGACTCATCACCCTCAGAACTGGAAATGACTTTCGAGGTCACCAAAGGCCACCAAGCCCCAACCGGAGAGAGTGAAAGCCTTGTCCCGGGTTAAACAGCGTGGAAGCAACAGAGCAGAGACGTGAACCCGGCTCCCACACCCCAACGGAGGTCCACACCAACTCTCCCAGTGCCCTCTGAGACCTCCTGCTTCTCTGCCCCAGCACCCCCTCCCCGCTTCCTGAAGGAGTTGGGGTGGCATTACACACAGGCCCAGCCCTTGGGTGTTCAGGGATCTGCGTGGACTGAGAAGCTGAGGAAGTTGCTGACCAGCCCATCAAACCACTCGGTCAACCCCGCAGACCAAGCGCCCACTGTGTGCCCAGCACTCTGGGCGTGGGAGTGGGGGAGGTGATGACAGAGTCTCTGACCTTGGACCTTATCATTTGATCCTGAAGGGAAAACTAAGGCTGGGAGTACAGCACCGCATGGCAGGAAACCCGGGGGCTTGGCCTGCGGGATGCAGTGGGGTAAGACTTGGCCTCTGCAGTAAAGGAGGGGGCTGCCTCTGAGATCCTCTTCAGAAGGTGCTGGGAGTAATCAGCGGAGGCCCCAGCTGGACCTCGGAAGATCTGAATGGCAGAGAAGGAGTAGGGGGCAGACTCCTACCAAGCTGGCGCTTCTCCAGGCAGTGGGCGCCTTCCCACACCTGACCTCTTTCCTCTCTCCAGCCCCATCTCAGTATGAGGTCATCTCACCCCTGAGTTGGCCAAGGCCACACCTCAGCTTGCAGTGATTCCCAAACCTGACCAAGCACCAGAATCGCCATACGGATTCCCAGGCTGCTCCAAACCACTGCATCAGCATCGCCCCGGACACGCCAGATGGTGGGGACGTTTTCCAGGCCCCCAGGGGATTCTGATGACCAGCCAGGCTGGGAAGCAGGAGGCGGCTGGGGGAGGGAGGGCAGGGGCTGAGTGGAGAGAGGGGGCTGCTGGAGGGCCCCCACCCCTGGTGGCAGCCAGAGCCACAGGCTTTGGGGCAGGATGAAGAAAGAGAAGAGCCCCGACGAGCCTGGGCAGGGCAGCCTGGAGCCGGGCAAGTGGGGGCCAAACCTTGGGCAAGTCCTTCCACCTCTCTGAGCCTCGGTTTCCATCTCCGGGAAATGGGAATCTCAGCGCTACTTGGCAGGCATCTTAGAGGATTAGAGGTGAAGTACATAAAGCACCTGGCACAGACTGGTGGCTGTCATTGCATTTATTCACCAGTATTTATAAAGCACCTACTATGTGCCACATGCTGTGCTGGGCACTCAGATGCAAAGAACAAGACAGACAAGCCCTCAGGGCATGCCATCTGGAGAGGGAGACAGGGTGCAGAGACAATCCCAACACCGTGTGGTCAGGCCGTGTGTGGTCCAGGGTGCCTGCAGGGAGGGGGCTGGATCTCCGAGAGTGAACGAATGTCCCTGATCCAGGCTCTGGCCCCGTGACTGTTCCCAGGATCTGGGTGAATCCGTGAGCGCCAGGCCCACTTTAGGTGGTCCTCTCCCCCCCATGTTTGATGCACCCCTTCTGAGCGTGGGGGCTGTCACAGCCCCTCACACCGGTATGCACAACTGGGGGGCCCTCAGGGGAGCCTGCAGCTGGGTCAAGCTCCATTACAGCCTCAGCTCTGTGACTGGTGGCAGAACTGCCCCAGCTCTAGTCCCTCTGTTCTCAGTCTCCTGCAGCCTGGGGTGGCACAGGAGACCCGCACTGCCTAAGGGCTGAGGGCGTACTGTCAGCCCCCTCACTGTGCCCTGCTCACCACCCCTTGGGGTCCCTCCAGGCCAGGGCCTGTGTCTCCTCCTTCCCCCAGGCCCGGTGCAGACCCAGACACAGAGCGATGCAGTGCCCTGGACAGTGTTACTGCCGTGTCATCTCCCTGGAGGAAGCACTGCCAGGTCACTCTTCCAGGTGTGGGGGTGGTGGAGGGAGAGTCCCAGGGGCTGGCTACTGCTGGCCTGGGCCCGGGCCTGGGAATCAGGTGTGTGTGTCCATCATAGGAGAGTGGGGGAGGCAGCACAGAGGGCAGATACAGACCAGGCGCTGAGAGGGGTGAAACATTCTGTGCAGTGGCGGGTTGGTGCGAATGAACTGAGTCCCTCTGGAGAGTCCCACAGCTAGGTCCCCCAGTCCAGCCACAGGCACATGTGGTCAGCAGCCTGGATCGGCTTTGGGTGCCTGGACAAAGCCACCAAAGTCCCCACACCATCCCAAAGGGGACAATAGGCCCCTGTCCCCAGTCACTCCTCCCTGTGGCCCCCACCTGCCAGGACCTAGGCTGAGCACTTTTGGAAAGGGAGGGGCTTTCCCTCCCTAGGCCCAGGACTATCCCCTGCGGACCCCCAACCCCAGCAGGCAGCCCCCTGGCTGCTCCTCCATCACGGCCTCCTGAGCCACCCACCCATGCCCTTTGTGGGCAGCGGCTTCTTCCTGAGCAGAGGGGCAAAGTCCAGGGCTGCCTCTGGCCAGCCCCACACTCTGACCCCTCTTCCCTCACCCCATCAGTAGGAGCAGACCTGCCTGAGAGCCAGGGGTGGGGCCGGAGGTGGGGCTCTCGGCTCCTCTTCCCAGCACAGACGTCTCCTCTCCTGCACCTGCTCCACCCCTGACGTGCCAGGCTCCAGACAAGGGCTGAGTCACTGCTCCCGGGAGCCTCAGTGTCCCCATCGACACAATGGGGAGCCTCTTCCCAGACCCTCCCTGCTTCCTGGGACTGCTGTTCAGATAAATGAGATCACCCTGCAGATGAGCCATCCTGGGGCCCCAGGGCTGGTTCTTCTGGTTGTGGCTGGATGTGCGGCAGGGGCCTGGTGGGTAAGTGCCTCCCTCCTGCCCTCCATCCTTGCTCTGATTGCTGTCCAGACAACAGAGAGACACTGGCCTCTGACGGAGCGGAGCCCACACTACCAGCCTGCTTCGAGTCCTGCCGTCGATGCTGCAGGCACGGGCTCCCGGACTCCAGCGGTGGTCCCCACCATGGAAAGGAACTCACTGTCCTCACCATTCCCGTATCAGGGCCGGAAGGGCTCTTAGCTGGGGCTCATCTCACTCCTCATTTTACTGCGGCTTCTGAGATCCAGAGAGGGCCTACGACCTGCCCAAAGTCCCCACACCCAGCTGCCCACTTCATAGATGGCCCTGGTGCCGCTGCCCCACCTGCTCCTCTCTGGCCTCTGCTAGTCCCCAGTCCTGCTCCACACCAAGCCTTGGGGCAGGGTGGGGCGGGGGAGGGGGGCCCGCTGGCTGCTCCCAGCCCTTCCCTGCCCCCGGCTCCACCCCCTGGTCTGATTCTCCAGCAGCAGACAGTCCCAGGCCTGTCAGTGAATTGGGGTGGGGCCTCCCCTCCTCTCACTAATCCCTTCCACCCACCCCCACTTCTTTGAGAAAACCAGGAAAGCAGGCCGGCCGCCCAGTGGCTTCCGGATTTACTCAAAAGAAGACTTCCAGGTATTGGGGCTCCTCCCCAACTGGCTCATTGCCTGCCCCAGAGTGCAAGGGGCTGGGGCCCAGAGGGTCCAGCGTGTGGCTAGGGCAGGACTGCCCCTGCCTCCTTCCCCAGGATGCAGTTTACCACCCTCCCCCATCTCCAGGCTGCTGGACATACTGCCAGGGAGGCTGGGGCCCCTCTCAATGCGCCCACCCTGTGCAGCAGCTGACCATTTGAGGAAACATCCCTGAGAGAGGCCCCAGCATTTCTCCTTGTCTCCCTGGGGTCCACAGTCTTCTCTAGAAGCACAGGTCTCCAGCTCATATTCCTGGAGTACCCCTGGGGGCCCACAAGCTCTTTTTGGGGATTTTCTGAGACTCACGCAGGAACCTGGGCCCTGACCACCCAGCCTGCCTCCCCCACCTTCCCTACCCTCGTGCCTCTCCCAGGAGGATCCTGCCTCCCCTCTCAGTCCTTGCCCATCCCCTGCCCCCTCTCGGAGGAGGGCACAGCCCCCAGGACGGCGAGAAGCAATCAATTGGATGTGTCATCCCTGGGAGTCTGGTTCCCACACCTGAGAACTTCTCGTCCATTTAAGGATAAGAAAAAGAGGCTTAGCAAGTGAAAGCTACTGCCCGAGGTCATGGACCTACTCATAGGGCAAGAAGAGGCCACCTAAGAACCCCTCTGATGCGGTGACCCCACGCTGGGTCTGGCACTGCCTGGACCACCCTGCCTCAGATCCCTGGCCCTTGGGAGATGCAAAGCACCCCCCACCCCAAGCTCTGCCCAGACCTACTCTTTACTAAGATGGTCTAAGACTACCTGACCTCCAAGTCAACAACAGGCGGCAACCACGGACTCCTCCCCCTGCCCCTGGTGCCCTCCAGTTCACCCACTTCTCACTGGGGCCCACCTCAGTGGCCACAATCAGGATTCATTCCATGTATGAGTCAACAAGCTTTATTGGTCAGGTAGGGGAGTGGGGGAAGGGATCAAAGGGGTAGGGAGGGGACTGTGGCTGGGGAGGCCACAGGCTGCAGGGCTGATGGGGTGGCAGCCTCCCTGCCCCGAGGGCTAGCTGGGGGAGCCGAGTCTTCAGTGAGTGGTCTGGTGGACCTGCTCACGGGAGGAGATGACCCTGCCGTCCTGGACCTCTTCCACAATGGTGCGCACCTGGCGGGTGGTCACGGCTGCAGGAAACAGACACCGGAGGTGGGCAGGGGCCGAGAGACCCTCGCTCAGCCCCTAGCCCCTGAGTGGAGCCTGTTTTCTCCCCCACAGCCGCTTGGTGTCCAGGCCTCTACTGGCCCCTCATCACAGCTACAGCTATCTCTCCTGTCCTTGCCACTCGCTCCCCACTTCCATCCCGTCCCTCTGCTGGTGTCCCTGAGTGAGATCTGCCTCCCAGATGAGTGGCTTGATTCTGACCCCCTGAGTCGTTCTGCAAGAGAGGCGCCATGCAGACTGGGTGCTACAGCAAATGGGGTCTATCTCCATTTCTCTGCAGTCTCCAGGGCGTGGACTATGCTCCCGTCTCCCCCTTCAGACTGGGATCTCCAAGACAAGAACCTCGTCCCCATCACCCCCAGTAGACTAGATACCCCAGGGCTAGGATCTTGTCTTTCCCCAGACTGAGATCTGGAGGACAAAGACCAAGTCCCTTTCTCCCATCAGACTAGAGACCCCAGAGACAGGACTGCTTTTGGTCATCTGTAGGGTCTCAAGAACAAAGATCATGAGACCATGTCCCTATCTTCCTGTGAGAGGAGAGTCTCCAGAGCTAGGACGATGTCTCCCCATCAGACTAGGATCTCCAGGGTAAGGGCCATCTCCCTGCCCAGCCCCCATCAGACCAGCTAGTGTCTCCCTCATCTGATTCCACCGAGCATCAACCCTGAGCCCTAACGGGCCCCTTCCCCGCCCCCCCCCCCCAGGTCTCCCGGCGCTTCGGGGCTAACGCGACCCCTCCTCCTGCATTCGATTTTTTTTCTGGGTTATCCCCCACGTTTCCTGCTGAGGATCAACCATCATTTCCTGGAGCTCCTGGGGACCCTCCCCCAGCAATATGCAGATGTATGGCCTGCCCCCTACAGCCCCGCCCTCAGCTACCAAGATCCTTACGTTCTCTGGGCTTGTACTGAGTCAGGCTGCGAAAAAAAACAGAGAGGAGATTAGATGTGGGCCTGAGAGCCCCACCCCTGCCCCAGGCCCCAGGCCCCAGCCCTGGCCTCGGGGCCCCTACTCACTGGGCGTCCTCGCCCTCCAGCAGGCGGCGGTAGGTGGCGATCTCCTGCTCCAGCCGTGTCTTCACGTCCAGCAGGATCTTGTATTCCTGGTTCTGCTGCTCCATCTCGCAGCGCAGCTGAGCCAGCTGCTCCTCCACACTGCTGATCAGCCCCTGGATCTGGGACAGCTGCATGCAGTAGCGATTCTCCGTCTCCGCCAGGCTACCCTCCAGGGATGCTTTCTACAGGAAGGCAGGAGGAGCAGAGGTCAGTGAGGGTGGTCAGTGGCCCCCCAGGCCCCTGCGCACACTCCAGGCCTAGCTGTGCCCCTACCATACTGAGCTGGGACTGCAGCTCGATCTCCAAGGCCTGCAGAGTGCGCCGGAGCTCCGAGATCTCACTCTTGCCGCTCTGCACCAGCTCGCTGTTGGTGGCCACCTCGCGGTTCAGCTCCTCTGTCTGCAGACAGGACACAGGACAGTATGGCATGAGCCTGGGCTCCCTCCTCCAAGTCAGACGACCCCCTTGGCCTCCACATGCTCAGCCCAGGGCCTATTCAGTGCCCAGACAGGGCACTCCCCATAACCCCCCTGGCCATGGTCACCCTCCTGACCTCCCCTGGGACTCTCAGGCCTCCTCCCAAACCCAACTGTGGGAGCCGTGCCTTCTTAGCAGCTTCCCACTTCCCAAAGCCCAGAAGCCTTTGAAATGATGTTGAGTTTTATCTTTCATCCCTACAAGTGGAAGGCACAAGGATAGGAAACTTGCGAACCAGGCAGGACAGGAGCCAGGCCCCTGGTGCTAGTTCCTGACTTCTTGAGAGAGAGGTGGAAGCTCCCAGGGTCTTTACCCTCTGGCTTTATTCCTGAAGGGCTCCCCCCACCCCCCAGATCCCAGCTTTAGCCATGATCTAGGCCTGTTGATGCAACAGGTGACCCCAATCCCCTGGGGTCCCTGTAGCTCACTGAGGATAGGGCACCCCAAGATGCCAGGCACTGGGCTTACCGTCGGGACTCAGTCCTTTAAACCCCATCCCCCGGGAGAGGCCTCTGGCCTGCAGCAGCCCCCACCTTGCTGAAGAACCAGTCCTCGGCATCCTTGCGGTTCTTCTCCGCTATCTTCTCGTACTGGTCGCGCATCTCATTGAGGATGCGGCTCAGGTCCACGCCGGGGGCAGCGTCCATCTCCACGTTGATCTCGCCACCCACCTGGCCTCGCAGGGCATTCATCTCCTGCGGAGGAGGGAGATTGCGGGTATGGGCATCCGGGCCTGTCCTGACCTCTCGCTCCCAACCCTTCCCACACAAGCTCTCCAGACCCCTCCCGAGGAGTCCTTCATTCTGCCTATGCTCTCCTCTCTGACCCTCCTAATGACTTCGTCATCTGCTCTGTATGGGCTCTGCCTCCACCATCAGACTGGGGGCTCCCTGAGGACAGATTCTATGTCTTCCCCACTAGACCAAGGGCTCTCCAAAGATAAAATCTAATTCTTAGGACTGTGCTCCCAAAATATCCCCTCTAATTTCCAAACTTCTACATAAGGCCCAGATTTGAGGGTTTGAACTGGGACAAGGAGACCTCCTCACTTATCCCCTGTCCTCGTGAGGGAGACCAGGATGGGCAGAAGAGGCCTCTGCGGGCCCCAAGAGGTCCCTCGGATGCAGGGAATCAAGGTGGTACATGGAGGAGGCTTCCCTGCACGCTGGCTCTGGACCCACAGGACCAGGGATCTGCAGACAGGGCAGCCCTGTAAGGTGACCAGCTCTGCTGCACCTGCTCTCCTGTCTTCCCATGGCCTCAGCCTTGGCACAGCCCCAGAGCCCTGCCACCCACTCTGTAGCCTCTTTGACCTGCTGCCCCAGACGCCTCACCTCCTCGTGGTTCTTCCTCATGTAGGCCAGCTCCTCCTTGAGGTTCTCGATCTGCATCTCCAGGTCGGCTCTGGCCAGGGTCAGCTCATCCAGCACCCTGCGCAGGCCGTTGATGTCGGCCTCCACGCTCAGGCGCAGAGCCTGCTCCGTCTCAAACCTGCAAAGGGAACCAGAGACTTCGGTAGATGCTTGGACTGGTAGATCCGGATCCTGGCCCGGCACCCTGCCTTCAGCAGGGCTCTAAGGGCTTGTAAGGAAGGATGAGGGGATAGAGTAGAAGCAAATTCTAGCCTAGCCCCGAGGCCCTGCGACCACACAAAGGGCAAGGCCCCACACCCACCCAGCGTCCTTGCTTCTCTCCTCTCTGCCTCCTGCCTCCCTCTCTTCCATCACCTGCCTAAGCCCAGCGACCTTCAGAATTTGCTGCATCCTGGACTAAGAGGTGGGTTCTTAGCAACTCCTAGGACTTTCCCACCCCCAGCTCCTGGCCCTTGCCACAAGCAACCAAGGAGTCCTGGGGTGCGGAGGGTTGCCCTAGTTCCTCCCCAACCCACTGGCTAGGGCTCACTTGGTGCGGAAGTCATCAGCAGCCAGACGGGCATTGTCGATCTGCAGGAGGATGCTGGCATTGTCCACAGTGGCCGCAAGGATCTGGGGGAATGGGAGAGTAGTCAGGTCATTGGGTGTGGGTAGCTCAGCCCAGACCAGGGTTTCCAGCTGAGTCTTCATGCCCCAGGGGCCAGGATGTGACTGCCTTCTCCAAGAAGGCTCGCTCCCCTTTACTGTGCTGCAATTGTTGGCAGAGGTGGGACAAGCAGGAGTCTGATGCACTTAAACTTGCTCCCTCTCACCCCCAGGACCTGCCTCCCCCCACCACCACCCGCCCCCACAGACCCCCAGGTCAGGCTCTGCCTTAAAGAAGAGGAGGCAGCCAAGTGCCCAGCTGAGAATTCTGGAGAGCCAGGGAGGTATGGGAGACTGGCCCCAGGGCCAAAGCTGTCCCAGGATCACAGCTGGGGAGATGGTGCCACGCAGAGGCTCTCCAAAAAGGAAGTTAAGGAGGCCTCACCAAAGGGCAATTCCAAATCAGAAGTCCTGCTAAACCCTAACCCCACGCCCCAGCAGGCAGCCCCGCCCCTGGAGGTTTGCTGAGCCCCACCTTGAGGGGGCAGCAGGAGGGATGGGGAAACCAGAAATATCCCCAAATAAGGCACACAAGAGGCTTCCTGAGGGCCCGCCCCCTCTGTCCAGCCTTCTCCTCCCAGCAGGTGTCATCAGGAGCTCACTCAGACCCCTCAGCCCACCATCGCCCAGAATCCCCCTCTTGCTCCAAGGAGAGAGGTGCCCACACATGTGTCCACCCCATGAGCCCAGCCTTCCACGTGCATTCACTCATCTTATCCTACAACCACACGAGGTGGCAAGAAGCTCCATGATGAGGAAACTGAGCTCAGCAGAGCTCCACAAAGCCTGCTTGTCCCTGGTCCAGCCTGCTGCCTCCGAAAAAGGGGAATGTGGGCCACACAGTGGCCCCAAGGTGGGCTTCCAGAGGCCAAGCCGGTGCTAAGCCCTCCTTGGCTCCCCGAGACCCTGTCGTAGCCTCCAGGCTGGACTCCAGGCCTTGGTCAAGGGCAGGAGATGGGGGAGGAGAAGTCATGCCCCCCCACAGTCCCCCTCCCACCAGCAGGCCCTACCTTGTTCTTCAGGTCCTCGATGGTCTGGAAGTAGTGGCTGTAGTTGGGGGCGGGCCCTGGGGCCTGCTTCTGGTACCAGTCACGGATCTTCACCTCCAGCTCGGCGTTGGCCTCCTCCAGGGCACGCACCTTGTCCAGGTAGGAGGCCAGGCGGTCGTTGAGGTTCTGCATAGTAGCCTTCTCACTTCCTGCCAGCAGCCCCTCAACACCACCAAAGCTGCTGCCATAGCCGCCGCCATAGCCACCGCCATAGCCACCGCCATAGCCACCCCCAGAGCCAAAGCTGTAGCAGCTGGAATAGCTGCTGCCCCCGAGGGCACTGCCCAGGCCGCTGGTAGACCCCAGCCTGCAGGAGCCGGCGCCCAGGCCACCAGACACCCTGCAGGACATGCGGGACGAGCCGCCCCCCAGGCCGGAGGACCCCTTGATGGAGCTGGAGGAGGTGAACTGGCGGATGGTGGTGGCCATGCCGGCGGCAGTCAGGCACGGAGCAGAGCGAGAGGGCTCGAGAGGAGAGAGGCCCAAGGTACAAGTTGCTGCTGGGGCTCGCCTGCCTCCTTTATAGGCCGACAAGTGGGCGTAGCGATTACAACAGGCTCGCTCCTCTGTTTCCATTCCCCTGGGCTTTCATCACCACTGGCTGCCGGCCAGCTCCCAGGTGGCTGTGGGTCCCCTCCCCTCCCACCATCGGGGCTTTGCCTCATTTCTCCGAACCCCCGTGCTGGGCGTCTGCATGTGCGTGTGCGTGTCTCTGGTCTCAGGCCCGTCACCTGTGATTCAGGCAGGCCCTCCAGCGACGCTTTCCCATGACCTAATACGGAGAAGAGGAGAAGGCAGGACGTCACCGTCACCGGTCCCTCCCAGGTAGCTGCCACCCCAGCCCAGCCCTCCTAGATCTTGTGTCTGGCGGGAAAGCAGGTTGGGGGACCAGGCAGCCCCCAGGCTGAGGTTGCTCTCCTTCACCACACAGCACACCCCACAAGATCCTGGCTCTGGGCTGGGTGCTGGGGAGACAGTGAGGACCAAGCCCCCATCCTGCCTTGGAAACTGGACCTAAACCCACCGGGCTCACCACACAACCCCGTAACTGTCGTCTCAGACTACCACCCCATTTCACAGAGAAAGGAAATTGGCACTTAGAGAGGGTGGTGTCCCACGGTCCCACCCAACTCCAGACCTGGGCTGGCAGGGCTACATCCTTCGTCCCACCATGCCACAGTCCCCACCCCCCTCCCCCAGGGCCCTGGCCAGACTGCCCCCCTTCTGGGGAGCCCTGACCCAGGGAAGCACTCCAGGGGCTGCGAATCCATCTGGCCAGTTTCCTGACCCTGCCCCCATCCCTGGGACCTGCTGGTGACTCAGCCTCCTCTTCTAACCTTTCCCCTCCCTGCTCCTAGAAGTGGGGGTCCTGGTCTAGGGTGGGCAAAGAGGACCTTAGCTATAGGCTGGGGAAATGGTGGGCTGGGAGGGAAGCATGGTGGTAAAAGAGGCTGAAAGAGCTGTGAGGGGCATCTCCTTTCTACCCTCCTTACCCCTCCTGCATCCTAAGAGGCCTCAGGGCGAGGCAAGGGCCATATACCTCAGGTCCCAGCCAGCTGGAAACTGGCTAGAAAGAAGAGGGTCTTCCTGAGACCCCGTCAGCTAGTCCCTCCCCCCAAAACCTCCCTCAAAGGCCCCCCTAGCCCCTGATGTGGCCCCTTAGGATGGGTTGTGTGTCTGCCCACCACCCCCAGCCCAGCCCCGGGTCCCAGGGTCCCGGCAGGCTCCTGGGCAGAATGTGGCCGTGTCTCAGACTGCCAGTGTCTTCCACTTCCCAGGCAGGCCCAGACAGCCCCGACCAGCAGCTGAGAGAGATTCTCCAATAGCCCAGCAGCTGCCAAGACACCAAAGCAAACAGGACGCCCCCCACGCTCGCACGCACAGCAGCCACCCCGCCCCACACACACCTGGAGCCGGGCAGAGCCGGTCTGGTTTCCTGGGCTGGCTGTGCAGCTGCCACTAGCGCTCACCCATCAATGCCCTGGACCACCCCTTCTGAAAGCCCCCTGCCTAGCCCCTCTCCCTCTGATCTTGAACGCAGATCTGCCCCGGGCTGACGCAGGGAGTTCTCTATAACAGGCATGGTTCCCCAGAAGATCTATGGGGCCCTCCCAGGGACCAGCCACAGGGCACGGGGACCCAGGGGCTGATCCTTAGAAACTTTCCCAGTCTGATGGGCTGTCCTAACCCTTCACCCTCAATCCTTCTGCCTCCTCCCCTCTCATCCTCCCAGGAGCCCCAGGCCCGGATGTGGTGGGCAGAAAATGTTGGCAAGTGACAAGCACCACCCACACACTCCACAAACCACCCTCTTCCAATGCCTCTGCCACATGCCCACCCCAAGCCAAGAATCAGACCAGAGCACGCAAGGCACTGAACTTCTGGCAAAGCTTTAATAGCAGTCACTGGGGCAAACCCAGGAGGCCCCCTGGGTGAGGGGCTGCAGGAAACAGATACAGAAAAGCAACAGCTGTTGGGTGGGGGCCCAGATGGGCACTTGGGGCGTGGCAGGAGCATGCTGGGAGCTGGCGGCAGTGGCTGCCCCTTGACCTTCAAGGCTGGGCTGTCGCAGGTGGAAAGGGGCTTCAGTGGGTGGAGCGGTGGACCTGCTCGCGGGTGGAGACCACCTTGCCGTCCTGGACTTCCTCCACGATGGTGCGCACCTGGCGGCTGCTCACCGTGGCTGCGGGCAGTGGAGGAGGGGACACAGGGAATCTCAGGCCAGAGCCCGTCCCCCAGTCTCCCACACAGAAGGGTCCTCAGCCTCTCCCCACTCCCTCTGGGCAGGACGGGGCAGGCTCTTACCTTCCCGAGTGGGCTGTGAGACCAGGGACGAGGAGTACTGGGCGGCCAGGCTGTAGGGAGAGGGGGACCTGTCACCCCGGGGATGCCAGCCAGGAGCCCAGCCCCCTGGGAGCACTGCTGGGAGGAGGGGCAACTGGGAGGCCGGGGAAAGGGGAGAGAGGTCCCAGCAATCAGAGAGAAAGCACGGCTGGGAGTGCACGGAAAAGGAGGGTAACCACAAAGGTCAAAGGGCACAGGCCCAGGGCACAGGAGTAAGGAGAAGACATGCCAACGGAAGACCCGGAGGCACTGTGGTTAACCAGGGATTTACAAGGAGAAGCTGAGCAAGTGGTTTTCCATATCCTGAAGGGCTCAACAAATAAACTCAATTAAAGCAGGAGATACTGTGGTTAGACTCTAGATGGACTTCGCCATCGTCAGGGACCAGAAAGCTAGAATGCGTGACTAAGCATGGAGACTTCAGGACATTCTCAGCCCCTTTATATCAGGGGCCCCATCAACCTTCCCAGCTCCAAACCAGATCACCACCCACCCTGGTCCTTATCCCATCCTGGGTAATGGCATCACCGACCACACAGTCATTGGAACCAGAAACCCAGGCTCATCATTACCCACTCCTCCAGGTGCTCACTCAACATTTACTGAGTCCCGCCCACGAGCCACGCTCACCCCCACGTTCGAGCTTCCAGTCCTGCTGTTCTTAGCTATAACATAGCTTCTGCAGGCACCACCTCCCTTTCCCTGCCCTCCACCCGCCACTTACAGCAGGACTTCTCTGGCCTGACCCTGCTCCAGCCTCTTCACAGGTCTCCCAGACCCCACCCTGGACCCGCGGATCCATTTCTCCCTCTGCAGCGAGAGTGAACGTTCTAAGCCATCTTGAGGATCTTAACCCTCCGCGGCTCCGCATTCCCTACACACTCTAGTCCAGATGCATTTGGCCTTCGACGCTCCTCACAGTCAGACCCCAGCCAGGGTTCTCAGTTTCACCTCCTGCAAACCTCTGCCTCCTCCTGGCCTTGGTGGGTGCTGTCCCCGCAGCTCAAGTGTGCCGCCCTGGGTGAAGCGGCCCCCAGCCCCCCCGAGCGGGTGCCCGGGCCCCCACTCACTGGGCGTCCTCGCCCTCCAGCAGGCGGCGGTAGGTGGTGATCTCCTGCTCCAGCCGCGTCTTCACGTCCAGCAGGATCCGGTACTCGTGGTTCTGGCGCTCCATATCGCAGCGCAGCTCACACAGCTGCTGCTCGATGCTGCTGATGAGCCCCTGCAGCTGGGCCAGCTGGGCCCCGTAGCGCGCCTCGGTCTCAGCCAGGCTGCCCTCCAGCGATGCTTTCTGTGGGCCAAGGTGCAGGTGGCTGAGTGAGACCGAGCTGGGACCCTTCCCCACAGCAGAGCACCCAGAGAGGGGCACCACCTGTGTGGGGTTGTGGGTTCTGCAGCGTGGTGGAGTGATGACTGTGGCACAGAGGGGCCCCTGTGGCTGAGTGTGAAGTGACAGGCTGGGTGGGGAGTCTCTGGTTCTCTGAGTGGGGGTCTACGAGGCTGGGCCCATGCTGGGCTGACAGGCAGAGGGCAGGGAGGGGAGGGAGGCCCTACCATGCTGAGCTGGGACTGCAGCTCGATCTCCAGGTTCTGCACGGAGCGGCGGAGCTCCGTGATCTCCGTCCTGCTGCTCTGCAGGGCCTCGGTGTTGGTAGCCACTTCCCGGTTCAGCTCCTCCGTCTGCAAGGCAGGGTGAGCTGCAGGGGCTGCAGGAGGCTTGCAGGGGTGAGGCAGAGGACAGGGCCGCCCCGAGCCCTGACCCCCCAGAACTGCTGCCCCAGCCCCTCCCTGACCTCTATGGGGCCCCAAACACACCCACACACAGAGGCCTCTGTGCCCACACTGGAACTTAGCGGAATCACCTTGCTTCGTGGTCATTTGCATCCCTTATGAACTGCAGGCGCCGCTCAGAGCCAGGCACCAGGCTGTAACCTTCATGTGCCCATCGCTGTCCAGGCACTGTAGATGCTCGGGGGGTGTTTACTCAGGGTGGGAGTCATACATCCAACACACACATCCCTACACACACACACAGCCCTCGCCGGGGCTGAGGAGACCTGGATCTGTTCCCCAGTCACAGTGAGGGTGTGTGACTTGAGGCCTCTCTGAGCCCCACAATCTGCGGGCAAACATGAGGGGTTGGTCCAACTCATTTCCAAAGGTCCTTCCAGCTGGGACAGTCTGTCAGTCTACAAGTTTTCCAGCCGTACTCAGCACGCAGCACACGTATGCACACCTGTGCACACCTGCTCACGCCTGGCCACCCACCTTGCTGAAGAACCAGTCCTCAGCGTCCTTGCGATTCTTCTCCGCTATCTTCTCGTACTGGTCGCGCATCTCGTTCAGGATGCGGCTCAGGTCCACGCCAGGGGCGGCGTCCATCTCCACATTGACGTCCCCACCCACCTGGCTTCGAAGGGCGATCATTTCCTGGGCAGAGAGGAGAGCAGGAGCTCACCCAGAGCCATCCTGGGGAGAGACCCTGGGGCCTGCCTTCTCGACCTTGGGGAGATGGGTGCAGATGACAGACAGACAAAGACAGGCCAACAGCTCCTCACCCTGAAGGTGAGGCAGATGTCATCGTGTCCCAGACGTGCAGGGCTGTGGGTATCAACAATCTCCCCAACACACACTTGGGGTCCACCCCCAATGTGTACTGGGGCAGGAGAGATGGCAAATACCCACCACGGTGGGGCATGAGCCAGCACAAGCTCACTCACCGCCCTGACCCCCCATCTTCTCCCCCACCGACAACCACATAGCATGAGCAGGGGGGAGCAGCCCCATGTCGGTATCAGCAGAGCCAGATCGCTTCAGGAAATGTTAAATTGCTGGGGGCGTGTAATTCATATAACCAGCCTCAAAGCCAGGGGGAGACTTCCTGGGCTCCTGCTACTCAGGGACTGGAGCCCCCTCAGTGGGCTCCCCCAGCTCAGGCCAGCCCAGAGGTCTGCTGAGAAGGAAGCTGCAAGGCTCATTAGTCTCCCTACAGGGCCTGGTATTCCCATCCTTGGGTTGAGCCTTGGGGTCCCTGGGAACCAGGCAGGAGAGGTGGCAGAGTGGTGGAGTCAGACCTGGGTGTGGATATGGGTCAGACAGACAGGAGGGAAGACCACTGTGCAGCGCTGGATAAATCCTTAACCTCTCTGAGCCTCAGTTTCTTCCCTAGTAAAAGTAGGAAAGAGCGCCCTTCTCCCAATGCTGCTGTATCAGCTGAGATAATTTCTGTAAATCACTTGTAATGTGCTGGGCAGATGTTCCTTGTTCTTATGACTATCACTATTATAATTAATTATGATAATTGGCATGTGTGCTCTTAGATTGATTTGCTTATTAGACAGTTAACTGTCACCACGTGGTGGACAGTGCCTCGAGGAACAAGTATCTTTGCGGTGAGAGGGCCCTCCAGGCCTCACCCAGGGTCTCCTGGGGGTCTCCCACGGTCAGGCCAAGAGCACACCAGAGATGGAAACTGGATTGAGAGCATGGCCCTGCGGGAAGCTGGCTCTACCTCCTCGTGGTTCTTCCGGAGGTAGGCAAGCTCCTCCTTGAGGTTCTCGATCTGCATCTCCAGGTCGGCTCTGGCCAGGGTCAGCTCGTCCAGCACTCTGCGCAGGCCGTTGATGTCGGCCTCCACGCTCAAACGCAGGTTCAGCTCCGTCTCGTACCTGAGAAGGATGGAGGCGTGAGCCGTGGGGTGCCACAAGGACACCCCCTGGTACGCACAGAGGGCTCTGCGGTGTGCAGAGCCAGCCCAACCACCCCTGGGGCAGCCCCAGAGCGGACTCACTTGGTGCGGAAGTCATCAGCTGCCAGGCGGGCATTGTCAATCTGCAGCACGAAGCTGGCATTGTCGATGGTAGCCGCCAGGATCTGAGGGACACGGTGGGCTCGGTGAGCAACCCCCTTGGCAGCCCCAGGAAGGCCCTGGAACACCCCTCTTGCGGGCCTTTGGAGAGTGGGCCAGAGTGAGGGAGATGAGAGTACCAGTGGTCTCCTCCTCTGAGCACCTTGCTGGGAATTTCAGGGGCCCAGCTGAGGTCCTGGGAAGCTCACAGAGTGGTGAGGGCATGATGCCCAGGCACAGGAAACCACAATGCCAGGAGAGGGACCTATATGCACACCTCTCCCACCATGGGGTCACCGCCCAAGCTGCCTAGACCTCACTCCCTCCTCCCCAACTAAATTCACCTGTAGGCTCAGTTGCCACCTCCTCCAGGAAGCCCTCCTCGATTCTCTGTCGGGTCCCTGCTCCCTGTCTTACCTCCTCCCTGCCTACCTCTCTTTCACAGCACCTCTCCCAGTGCAACTTTTCTGTGACTTTTTTGGTCATTTCCTCCTCCACTGCACTCTGAGCTCCAGGGGGATAAGGCCATGTCTGTCTCATTCTCTTTGGAATCCCCAGCCTTGGACACAGTGCCTGGCCCAGAGTCGGCCCTCAGGAAACATTTGTTTAATTAAGTGCTTAATTAATTAATTAATGAGGTTGTGATTGGCCCCACCTCAAACCTAGGGCAAAGTTTTCTTTTCCCACAGGGTCATTTGGGAGGTTTAAATGAGAACATGGGGGGCCGGCCCCGTGGCTTGGAGGTTAAGTGCGCGCGCTCCGCTGCTGGCGGCCCGGGTTCGGATCCCGGGCGTGCACCGACGCACTGTTTCTCCGGCCATGCTGAGGCCGCATCCCACATACAGCAACTAGAAGGATGTGCAGCTGTGACATACAACTATCTACTGGGGCTTTGGGGGGGAAAAAATAAATAAAATAAAATCTTTAAAAAAAAAAAAATGAGAACATGGGAGGAGGGCTCTGGAGGGAGCAGAGGATGGGTTATTATTACTGCTGCTGTCGTTATTATTGTGAGAAGCATCCAAGAGAGGCTCCAATCTAGGGCCACGGGGGCTAGAGGAAAGCGAGGCCCCTCTGCACTGCCCAGAGAAGCAGATGGAGGTCTGGGTGGAGGGGCAGATGAGCTGGGGAGAATTTGGAATTCTTTAAGGCTGAGAGCTGAAATGTAGAGGCCGAAGAGGAGACAGAAGAGGCAGAAGCAGCCCCACACGGCTCGTCCTGGGCCTCAGTGCCCACTCAAGGCCCGAAGTTCTGTGAAGGGACCCTGGGTCGGGCCCTGTATCCAGACTGAACCCGAGGGCCAGTTTGTTACCATCCCTGGGCCTCAGTGGGCCTGTCTGTGGCCTGCAGACCAGCCCCCCACCCACCTCCCTGCTCAGGCGGCTGACTGGGCCCAGCGAGGGGCAGTTGTGAAAACCCCCAAGGGGCGTGACTCAGAGGGGCGGAGGTCTAGTGTGAGGTGTCTGGGGCTGGTGGTGAGGAGCTGGCTGACCCCGAAGCTCACGTTGACTCACCAGGGTGCCCCTGGGTTCCCCACTGCCCAGACCAAGCCCAGTGTCTGATCTGGCACTCCCTGTAGCTCTGCTTCCTGAGGGAAACACGGGGATTCCCCGCCTGGTGGAGGTCCCAGGCAGGAGCAGGCAAGGCCCCTTTCAGTGCAGCCGGGCCTGGTTCCACACGAGGAAACAGCAGGCCCAACCTCCCAGGGCCTCCCCAACCTCCCCCAGGCCTGGCTCCCTCAGGTCTTGAACTTCTCACCTGCCTTGGGGGCTGCAGCACTGTAGGAGCCTCACCAGGGGCAGGGTTTGTGCAGAAGACCCAGGTGCCACATGTACAGAATGCCAAGGCCATGTTCTTAGAGGTCATGTGTGTGTGTGTGTGCGTGTGTGTGTGTGTACTGTCTTCTCCATCAAATTAAGTTAGAGAGATCCCTTTCCTTGCGAGCTTCCAATCTGAATGGGAAGACACAGCTCCTTCCCACAGGGACACCTCAGTCTGCAAGCAGAGACACAGCCCTTCCTCTCAAGGACTCTCAGAGTGACCATCATGGAGAGAGGAGGAGGACCCACAACAAAAGCAGCCATGAGAAAATGCCAGACTCAGTGAAACCAGCACAATGAACCGGGCAGAGACTGAACCTCAAGGTGTTGAAGGGACCCCCAAGATCTGGGGATAAAGGCAAGTACCACCCATCCAGGAGGACTGCCAGGAGGAGGTAAGGCAGGCAGGAGGGCAGACCCAGAGGGGAACGGAATAGTGAGAAGGAGATCTCCAGCCTCACCTCCCAGCAGCCACACCAAACTCTTTCCCAGCTCTTTGCCGTTGCCCAGGCTGTTCCCCAGACCTGGAATGCCATCTGTTGCCTTCAAGGTTCTGCAGCCTCCCCTGCCCACCCCCCCCATCACCCACCCCACCCACGCTCCCCCGGGAAGGGAGAACTCCAATAACCTCCCTGCCTGGGATGTCCTCCAGGCCTGGACCAGGGACTGGCACAGGGCTGGGCTCCAGAGCAAGTAAGAGCGTGAATGGATGAATGAAGGAAGGAAGGAGGGAGACCTAGGACAGGGGAGAAATGCTCACAAAGGTCCAAAGTTGGGAGGGAGGGCGTCGGAAGCAGGTCCTAAGGATAGGGGGCAGCAGGCAGGGAGCTCCCACCTTGCTCCGCAGCTCCTCGATGGTCTTGAAGTAGTGGCTGTAGTCGCGGGCGGGCCCGGGCCCCTGCTTCTTGTACCAATCGCGGATCTTCACCTCCAGGTCGGCGTTGGCCTCCTCCAGGGCGCGCACCTTCTCCAGGTAGGAGGCCAGGCGGTCGTTGAGGTTCTGCATGGTCTCCTTCTCACCGCCCCCCAGCAGGGCGTCTGCCACGCCAAAGCTGGAGCCAAAGCCCCCGCCCAGGTTGCAGGTGTAGCCCCCACCGTAGCTGCCCCCCAAGCCCGCCGAGAAGCGGGACGAGGTGACTGACATGTTGCCAAGGCTGCCGGCTCCCAGGAAGCTGGGGGCCCGGCAGGCACCCCCGACGTGGACGGAGGACACCCGAGAGAAACCCCCGCCGGGTGCGCACAGGCCCTTGAGGGAGCCGGAGGTGGAGAACTGGCAGATGCTGGTGGTGGTGGCAGCCATGGTGTCCACAAGTCAGGAGCAGGGTCCAGTCTGGACAGAGACCCCGGGCAGGCAGCCCTTTATAGCCAGGCTAAAGGGGGGCTGGGCCCCTGGCCCTTGAAGTCAGAGCCAAAACCCCAGCCATGTAATTTGCTTCTGTACCAGCCGCCCAGGGCCTGGGGCTCAGGCTGGACACACTGAGTGCACCCCCAGCCCCCCACACCCCAGCCTTGCCTGGACCCAGTGGCCTCTTAGCTGCCCATTGTCTGTTCAGAAACAAAAGTGGTGTTGGAGCCGCAGCCCCGGGGCAGGGTGATCCTCCATCCTGGACGCAATTAGGCAGCTGAGCTCATTCTTGGGGGGGTCCGGAGAACCCAGCCCTAGGAGTGAGGAAGGACCTGGAACAAGGCTCCACAGGCCTGGAGCCCAGGCGCTTGTCTGCCCCCGACCCAGCACTCTTGGGCCCCAGGGAAAAGGTGGAGAGTGTCCAGCCAACACCCTCCCCCAGGTACAACGTGGCCCTGAGGGAGCCCCCCCGCCCCGGGGAGGGGGGAAATCAGACTCTGACCTGAGGGATCCCTCAGCTCTCTTGAGATGAGTCCAAGTCAGTGGGAGGAGACACAGCCCCAGGCTGGGGGGTCCCCGTATCTGAGCAGAACAGACACAGCCGCTGACCTGAGCGATTGTTTCCAAGCCTTTCAGGAAGTCAGTTCACAAGGCTGTTTGCTCATTCCTAAAATGAGGGTGATTCCCGCTTCCCAGGTCCTTTGAGGGGATGTAGGGAGATGGTGACGGGTCAAGCTGGGGCTGAGGGGGAGGAAGCAGCAGAGGGTAGGGTGACGGCTCTTGCTCATTTCCCAGGACCTGAGGAAGCCACCCCCGGGGGGCCCCCAGAGGAGGTGCGAGGGAAGCGTGGGATCTGTGTAGCGGGGTGCCCCTCGTCAGCGCCGCACCCTGGGGACGGGCCGCCCCGGGAGCAAGAGCACGAGCCCACATCCTGGCGGCTGGCACCCGCCTCCCAACCTGGAGATTACCAGCCTAATCTCGGCGGCGCTAATGATTTAGGCGCTGCCAGGACAGCGGCGTCTGCCGGGCCTGTCTCGATGGGGAGCTTCCAGGGGCGGCCGGGCCCGCGGGACAGGCATGGAGGGCGAGTCTGGCCCGGAGGGAGGCGCGTGGGTGGCCTGGGCTCTAAGAGGCCCACACACGGGGACAGGGAGGGAGTCAGGTTTTCCATGTGGGCTGGAGCTCCCATGCTGAGGCTAGACTGCCGGAGGGACTTCCTGCCTAGAAAGTGGGTGGCCTCTCACAAGAAGGTGTCTCCTTGCTTGGAGAGTGGGGACAGCATGAGCTATCCAGGAGAGAGGGGACGAACCCCAACTTTATCCTGCTCCTGCCCCACCTGTGAAGTCTGGGGGTTCCAGGTTTGCTGGGGAGTGGGGAGGGAGCTCGAAGCCCAGGATAGGGAGCAAGGTCAGACCACCAAGGCTCTTCCATGAGGTTAGACATCAGGGAGGACTTCCTAGCTCTCCAGGACGGTCTTGGAGGAGGAAAGGGAACCAGTAGAACCTGGAGTCACGTGAGTGGGCCAGAGGCAGGCCCCGTCCCAGCAGGTTACCTCGCACGGAATGACATACAGCAAAGACCCTCCCCATCCCCGCTGGAGCCACACTCCTGGAACCCCTCTCCCCCAGAAGCTTACTGGCCTCCCTCCAGGCCGGCCTCACCCGGCTCAGGGAAGCGACTGCCCACCTTCCAGCGCTGAATTTGCCGCAGAGCCAGGGGCCTGTGGAAGGGGCCACCGCCCTCATGCCCCTCCTCAGAGCAGCCTAGCCCTCACCCCCACCAACACTCCCAGACTTTAGTCCTGAGGCCCCGTTGGAAGGGGCAGAGAGTTGAAGGAAGCCTTCCTTCCTCCCTCTAAAATCACCAAGGCATCACCCCTTCACCACCATTTGCCCCCTCACCCCTGGCGTCAGCTGTGTGCCGCCGTCTGGGCCTCAGTTTCTCCACACCAGGGACTCCCAGGCCCTTTGCCTTTGCTCTTTGGAGACTCTGCCTCTGTGGAGCCCCCCTCTGCACCTCAACCCAGAAGGGCCTCCCTTGCTGGAGGACAGGCTCAGCTCAGCCCTCCCCAAGTGAAAGGGCAGAGCTAGACCCCAGGAGGCCTCCCCGGCTCTCTGGAGTGTGTGGCCATCGCTGGCCGGGCTAAGAAGACCTGGACATTCCTCCTACATGGCTCGGGGACAGCCCTTGCCCGATCTTTCCAAAACGCTGTGAGGAAACCAAGGCCCAGTGCCATTGGCGGGCGGGCAAGGGGTCAGAGCGGGGCCTGGAGCCAGACTCCCTGCCGGGGAGGAAGGCCTGGCAAGAGCAGCTGGAGGGCTGCACAGAGGTCCTCTCGGCCGTGACTCCTCCTGCCCGGGCCTGCCCTCCACCCCCAGCAGGGAGAGGCACCTGGCAGCCAGAGGGGCAGTGCCAGGCCCACAGCCCCCGCAGCTGTCAGCAGCTTGGCTCACATGGGGGATGAGGGAAAAAGGAGGAAGAGATCAGCCCCAGAGGTTGCTGGGAGTCAAGCACTGTCGGGGAGGAGACAAGAGGAGGAGGCCACCAGGGAGACGGCTAGGACAGCTCCCATCATCCCCTGGGGTACCGTCCCCACAGGCCCTGGTCTCCTCTCTGGAGTGGAGTCTGGACAGATCCTGCCTCGGATGTGAGCAGGACCAGGGTGTGGGGGAGGGTCCCTGGGACTACACCCACCCCCATAATGCTGACGGAAGGCGCAGGGTATAGAGTGAGCTGGGGTACACAGCTGATGTTCAATAGATGCATGCTGATATTGACAAAGGTCATGGTAGGTCATGGCTCCTACAGGCCCCCCAAGCATTAACTGCCACCCCCCAGGACAGTGTCTACCACCATCCCCTCCCAGAACCCAGGGCACGGTTTGTACGAAGCAGGTGCTCTGTAAGTGCTCATTGAATTGTTAGGGACAGAACCTGGGCCGTGACTGGGATAGACATAGGGACCCAGGAAGGGAATACATGGCCACCTACCCTCCCCTCAAGGAAAAGGATCCATATTCGGTGAGGTCAGGGGAAGTGAGAAGCCCAAGAGCCCAGGGGTGGCTCCTAGCTGGGGCCTTGGCTTGGCTGATGAGAAGAGGACCCCAAATCCTTCAGGGGTCCCAAAGACCCTCACTGCCCCCCCCCAGACCCCTGCCACTAGGGCACCTATCAGCTCCTTTCCATTCACCCCACAGACACTGAGCCCACTCTCTCATCTCAGCTGGGGCACCTGGCCCGGGATGGGAAAGGCAGCGCCACCAGGGAGCTCACAGGTCCCTGCCCCTTACCTCATCCCCAGAGCACTCCCCACCCCTGGCCAGCAGTGCACCCTCGCCCAGCCACGCCTGCCCTCAGGGGGAATCCTCTTCTTCCTCTCTGCTCTTTCCGCAGCCTCATCGCGGAGGTCCCAGGGCCACGCCACCCAGATCCACCCACTAATGGTTTGTGTCTGGCTCCAAAGGGCCCCGCCCCCCACCTCCCCAGGCTGTGGGAGATGCCATCATTCCTGGGGCTCCTGGGAGCCTCCTCCCAGTTGAGAAATCAGAGGCAGGGTCCCCCATTGTCCCCTGCACACACAGGGGTTGCCAGGTGCTCCCTCCCCAGGGACAAGCAAACTCAGCCACCTCCCTCTGACAGGTTTCCAGGAACCATTAGCCTGGAGTGGACCCAAGACATAAGATACAGACACCCAGGGACACCTCACCTTTCCAGGCAAGCCATTAGCTGCCCAGGGCTCCTCCCCAAAAAGGACCGGACGGAACCCAGGGCAGGGGGAGAGGAGAAGAGAGGGAGGGCGGGAACCGGCAGGAACGGGTAGGGAGGAAGTCCAGGAAGGGGACGCCAGGCCCCAGCCAGGCACGCGTGGGAACTCTTGCTGCTGCCCACAGGCTGGAATACTCCAGCTGACAGGATGGCTTCCTCCCTCAGCCCTCCCCTCCCTCTCTCCACTCCCCCCTTCCTTGGCCTGAGGGGAGTATTGGGGAGAGTGAGAGGGCAGCACTGCAGGTGGGCTCCCCTTTCAGGCTCACACCCCCTCCCCCTTTGCCCTGCAGACTGGCTGAGGGGGCCTGAGGGCCTGAGGAGCCAGGTCAGAGACCCTGAAGGAGCCCCAGGACCCAGGCCCTGCCTTCCAGACCCCGGCCTCCCAGGGCCCTCACCCTGCCCCACCTGCAGGCTCTGCTCCTCACCCTCCACGCCCTGTGAGGCCGGTGGCTCCCACTAATTCTCCCACTAATTCGCACTCGTTGAGACCTGCTCGTCAATGCCCTGGAGTGGTACCTCCAGGGACAGGTATGGCCCAGGCTCCTGACAGAGCGGCTTGGTCTCTCCCCTCAGAGTGGACCCTTCCTCAAAGGAGCAGCCATGCCTCCCCCCTCAGACTGGGAGCTCACTCAGGGTGGGGGCTGTGTCTCCCCGTGTGAGCTCGGGGATGCTCTGATCATGGCCTGTCTCCTTCGTCCTTCACCCTGCACAACCGGCAGGACGGGGGCTCTTGGCTCTTTGTCTTGATGCTGACCACCCAGCCCACCACAATATGACCAACAAGGAGTGGGGGAGGCGAGGGCCAGAGGATGACCTGGGAGGAAGAATCATAGAAGGAGGGCCAGGGGAGGAAGGATCTGGGGAGGAGGATCAGGGGAGGAGGATTAGGGGAGGGAGGACTAGGGGAGGGAGGACCAGGGAGGAGGATCAGGGGAGGAAGGACCAGGGGAGGGAGGACCAGGGAAGAGAGTCAGAGGAGGACTAGGGGAGGGAGGACCAGGGGAGGGAGGACCAGGGGAGGAGGACCAGGGGAGGGAGGATCAGGGGAGGGAGGACCAGGGGAGGAGGACCAGGGGAGGGAGGAC